TGGCCATTTCTTCTGTTATAAGGAGGGGGCTTGCCTAATTTTTCAGCACTGTTGTTGCTCGAGCTTGCACTTTGAACAAGTGAAGTTTGACTCTTTTTTCTGTTCCTTTTCCTAGGCTCTTCCCCGGTTTAACAAGAAAGGAGACGTGTATAAGGCACACATAATGAATGTGAGCTGGTCAGCGGATCACAGAGTTATTGATGGTGCTACAATGTCACGCTTCTCGAATTTGTGGAAATCCTACTTGGAAAACCCAGCGCTTATGTTACTAGATCTGAAGTGAAGATTGATGACATCCTTGAACTTTTTAAGCTTCCAAAGAAAAGAGTAGAGCCTAGCTGTGCCAGCACATGTTCTTCATTGCAATTTATATTATAAATGATTTGTATTGTATGATTAAAAGTCTAAGGCACAATATGTATCACTATTCTGTTAACACTTTTTACTGAAAATGAATTATGGTGTACTAGTTCTTCTGGGGCTGTCACATTTTATAGGTCATAGTTTGACTTCTTAATATGGTGCTGAGGTTTTTGTGTCAATAGATTGAAACTGGCAAGAACTACAAAATTAACATTACTGTAAGACAAGTAGCCATATACAGTATTTGCTCTATTTTTTTCTTATTTCAAACTGACTCTTAAAGGAAACTTTTCAATTATACTTAGTTGGGAAAAGGAATTTATATACAAAAATATTTTCCATTTCCCCACAATAAAGCTAATTGCTGTATAAAATAAGTGCAATTATACTTAGCATTTAAGATATCCAGGAGTATGTTACTCTATAGGGATCATTATCTGTAAATGTCCTATTTATATAAATTAATATCTTTTAAAAGGGAAAATTATAAGCAGATACTAAAAATGACAAATTGTAGTTTTATTCGGTATGGGGGGGGGAGAGAGGAGAGTCTAATGGGTAATTATGGACATTAAAATAAAAACACTTTATATAGAAATGAAGGTATGATTATTTTGTTAGAGGCCCGCTTTAATCAGAAATAGCATCAAGTT